TTACTTCTACCTCACGCTGTTTCATAGTTTGTTGCTTTTTAATTGACTTTGCCGAACGGTCTCGCTGGTTCTCTTCTTGTTCTTTTAAGCTATTCTCAACTAAATTCAAATTCCTGTCTCTGTGAGTTAACTCTTCCTGTTTGCGATTCTGCTCCAACTGTGTTCTGTGTAGATCATTCTCTAGAGATTTGAGTTCATCGTTCATCTTCTGAAGTTCCTCCATCTTTATCTTTTGCTGGTTATCCCATCTTTTCCTTTGATCTTCATCTCGTTTACGACTTCTTCGGCTCTCATCTTCTAACATTTCCATTTGTTTTTTTAAGTCTTTACATTGCATTTGTGCCACCCTCTCCAAATGCTGTGCTTCTTCTCTTTCATGCTCAACTCCCTTCAATCGTGCTTCAAGCATCTTGATGGCGCTGTTTGCTTCTGCGATAAGTTGTGATGCTCTATCAAGCTGCTTTGATCTTGCTAAACTATCTGCTCCAGTTGACAGAAGTTCCTGTTGCATGATATTCAAATTGGATTTCAGATCATAGCGTTTACGGCTTTTTCGAATTTCGTGTGAATACTCTGTATCCGACATCGTTCCATTAATGGCATCTTTGTTGTGATTTGGTGGTGCCGGGGAATGCCCTTGAAAAAAATTAATAATTTGGTACGTTTTACTCTTTATAATTAATTAAATTCATAACATAATATTTAATTAATAGTCCTACTAATAATATATATTTATTATATATTGATTTATTCAAACAGGTAACCAGTATCATATGCCAAGCCAAGTTCTTTTGATAACCCCTTAATTGAAATTTGTTTGCGACAATGTGTAATTAATCGTTAAATATTTGTACTTCATATGATCCTGTTGTTTTAGGCGGTTAGCGGAAAATATCATATCTAGTAAATATTGTAATAAACTCACTTGGAAGGACAATCTCTGGTGATGGTGCCGTCATTTTCATAAGATCATTCCACACAAGATCGGAAACATAGGGATAAGTTCGATCCAGTATCCCATGCAACATAAAGAACGCTTTGTGTCCATGCTCGTCAACTTTCTGCAGCAACAAATCGAACAGAATCTCAGATCTATTTCGACGAGATTTCTCTGATCGAAGAAGCTGTTTGTCTAGGTTACTAAGTTCTAGGGGTGGCCTTAGCTCTGGTATGATATGCTCCGCCCAGACATTTTCAATGAAACTCTCTCGGTTATTCAAACATACTTCGCCGTAGGTACGAGGGATAGGAACGAGTTTCGTTTCTGAAATAATATTAAAATTGATAAGAGAATTGAAAAGTGTTTGTACTATACATTTATTCTACAAACAATGCTAACGATAGATAGTAATAATATAAATATTAGTAGTAGTAATAGTAGTAGTAGCAGTAGCAGTAGCAGCAGCAGCAGCAGCAGCAGTAGTAGTAGTAGTAGTAGTAGTAGACATGTAGTAATGGAAGTAGTAGTACCAGTATAATAAAAAAAAAGTGAGTTTCCTGGTCAAAAGTCTTTTCAAACGGACGACACAAATAATGATGTACCTGTAGCGAAAATCATACAAATTATGTTGATGACTAAGACTAGGCCAGCGTATAATAGGATATTAACCAACCTATGGTTAAAGCTGGAAGACTAAACTGTCGTGTTTGCTGGCAGAGTAAACAACGGCAAACGTCATCTACATCAGTAAGTTCTGCTGGGCCATCTTCTCCTGGAAGATGTGACAATAGCTTATGTCTGGCAACTAGAGTCTTGTCTCTTCGCCTCAGTTCAATAGATGAAGAAGTAAATGAAAACGCGCGTCTTAAATTAGCTCTTTCTCCTTCATCCATTTTGGTAATAAAATTAATTAAAATGAGTTGAAAATAGACTTTTGTTGAGATCAACAATAAAAAAGGAATTGGATGATACAAAAACACAGTATTAGTATCAATTTTCAAGCCCAAGTCCAAGTGCAACAGCTGAACAATTAACGCTTCATTTGTCGGTTAATATCAACATTATATCACATCAAGTGATGCTGATTATTAGATTCTAATTTGAGAACAATTGAAGCAACGGTTCCTACACCTCATCACCATGTGGTAGCCATACTGAGGGCTAAATTGTACTGCATATTCGGGATTAAAACTAATCTACATCAGGAAAGAACATTAGTAATCATCATAAACATTATTATTATGTTCAATTATTCATTATAAGCAAGAGAGAATTATAATTATGATTATTATTTGATTATCATTATCAATATCAATATTCTTATTTATTATTAGTATTATTAACACGCTTAACTGTAATGTCGATATACGCCCAAGTGCACAAAAAAGGAAAAACTGAAAACTACCAATATTAGCTTCGAGTGGTTAAATATCATTTCGATGGACTTCTAATCAATTTTAAACAATACCATTAAGCAAACGAGTTATAGAATGCGCTACTTACAGAATTCGGTACGACTCATAATTGTTATAAATAATCTATACAAGGTGAACGGTATCCTTTATTATTGTTGTCATGGCTAGTTTGCAAGGCCTGTGTAATTCGTATTATTGTTCATTGTTAATCCCTGAAGCGAATTTAGAACAATTATTTGGTCGCCTATCAACTAATACCAATTTCATGCTACACAATGTCGTAATAACCAAATAACGCTAATGTGATCAATATTTGAGTTGCAGTGGATTTGCC